GAGCGCAACATTATATCTGCTGACGCTGTTGGTATAAATTCTTCTCTAGTTCTTGAGGACTAGCTTCCCCTTCATTTGATCGAACTGAAGTGGCAAAGCGCATAGCAGTTCAGCATTTTTTTCAGAGGCTCTTGGCGTCTTCTCTTCGGAATTTTGCTGGAGAAACAAGGTAAAGAGGGTTTGAAGCCAAGCACGCTGTTACATATTCAGAATTTTCGGAGGGTTGGTTTTACTACTGAGGACCTTCGCGTTGCGCGCCGCTTTTCGCATGCTTTTCCGCATAATTGCGGAAAGAACAGTTGAACTGATATAGTCCACCGCCTTGGCACTCTTGCGTTGTGCGCTACCGTGCTTCTATGCCACCAGTTGTTGTGCCTCCTCAAACAGTCTTTTAAATCCTGGAATAAATGCATATTGTGTTAAAAAAGTAGGTTATTCTTTTAAAATCATGGAATGGGTGCATATTGCGCTTCGCAGCCGAAGGGCATCATGTGAAAAAGAACAACCGAACGTTTAATAAAACTGCATCTGGTGCAAACGCTGTAGCACTCGGAAAGCATAACTTAACTACAAGATTTGTTTTCAGCTGGGGCTTAAGACCGATAACGGAAGATTTCCTGGTAACTGTTGTTGAGGAAGCGCATTGTCTGGTGACGGTGCTGTATCGCCTGATGAGCACTCTGTTGCCGAAGCATCTACGATCTCTGTTTGATGAGAAATGCCTGAAAGCATTGATCCCGAGTGCGAATCGGCCACCACCGGCAGTCTTCCAGACGAACGGTACCACGCCGTTCCGGTCACCGAGGCGAGGAGTTGTAGCGCCAATTGTGAGCAGTGTCATCGTACCGCCACCGGTTGTTCCAACGCCACCGCGGCATTTGATCGATGCCTCAACGCAGACATTCTCAACGGGCGAAATCAACGTCCTAAATGTATTTTACGACAATTAACTTTGTGTTCAGTTGGTCGGCTGGCTAACTCCGACGGATTTATGGAAACCAATTCTTAAAAAAATGCTCATTTTATACAATAGCCCGTGTTAAAATATTTTTCTTCCTGTGTGCGCGTCTGTCTTAACCCAATCAGTACCTGGTCCACTTCTGGATGCGTGGATGCCTGGTTTCCTTGCATCTGTAATTTATGATTTGGAAAGCGATGTCTTCTGTATTTCTAACAAATTAGGCTCTCATTTCAGCCCTGGTTCTTGTGTTTTACCAACTTTCAATATCTCTAAAAATATAAACATTTGTTTTTCCTGCCCATTTCTAACGTTCTGATCCTGTAGCGGTCATTTTTTTACATCCTGTTCTCTTTTGCCTCATATGGCTACATATATTATACATAGCATTACTGTTGATCGGCTTTACTTCGTTAATTATAATTTCAGAATCGAGTTTTCATTTTCATCACTGTTTTGCTCTTTTCTTCTTTTTTTGGACGGCAGGATTCTGTTCTGAGAAGCGATAAATTCTGTTTAGTGAAATTATTAGGATTGTAAATCCAGACGCATACTGCTTCATTCATATGCACCGATTGTAGGGACGGCTTCGTTAGCATCGGGCTTTCTAGAATTTCATAATAAGAATTCAGAATCTTGCCGTCATCGAAGCCTTAGAATTGCTCATTGGAAAACTCGGGCGAGCCCAAAGTTCTGACTCTTCAACATCTTTAACATTAACACCCAACTTCTGTATATTTGCAAATACGCGCTATCATTTCAGCTTGATTAAAAATTTCAACATTAGTTTTCGTAGTTCGGACTGCATTCTTTGTTCTCTCATCACTCCGTAGATCAAATTTAGTGCAAAACGGAGAAACAAG